TGCTTCACATTTCACCTGTACCTCTTCTTTGTAGTGTACAACCATAGATGGCTACCACTTTCATTTGCGAAAGCCATGTCTACTGCAGATACAGCACTCTTAAAATGGACTCCTTGGCGAATGAAAGTGGTGCCACAAAAGGAGACTAGTCAGGGCAGAAATACAAAAGCCTCCACTACTGATTTGTTTTGAGTGTGCATGCTTCAGAACTATCATAGTAGTCAATATCCTATTGTAGCGAATCACTGGCCAGAAACCAGCGTATGCAGATCAGGTGCCCAGATCACCATATTACTTCCCAAACAGAGTGTTGTATTGGTGCACTACAGCAATGCTTGCATAAATAGCTAATGCCCTGAGCAGGTAAGTTGCGCTCTCCTTATGCTTTTCAAGGTTTCATTGGAAATGTTAACATCGGTATACTTTTAATGACTGTAGCCATGGGAAATTATAATAAATGTATCAGAGGAACTAGACTGGCATATAAAAGCAATACCAGCTCATAATACTGTTTTCAAGCCGTACAAAGATTTAAGCACAAACACCATGGAATGTTCATGTTAAGGAAATTAAGCTGTATGGAGATATGAAGACTACAGTATGCAGCTTCAAAACTGTCCACCTTGTCCTCAGGATCAAGCATTTCCAATCATTCTCTCTCCTGCTGTGTAAAAAAGCACTATCCACGCCATTTTCAGCCAGGATTCACACATTTCTAATCAGAATCAATTGAAACCATATGCAAGTCCTAGGTAAAGTTGTGTGAATCTTTTGTGAAAACATTTATAAATAGACCCCTGTAATCTGAGGTGGGGTGTAATAAAAGCATGAAAAGTTATATCCTGTAGTTCATGCAATTGTTACCTTTAAAGGAAACATTAGGAGACAACTTGTCGCTATAGTTGCCTATAGTTTATAACCAGGGACTGCCAGGTTGTAACAATTGCTAGAAAACCCATGAATGCAAAGCAACCCAGGAGCCACCAGAACCCAGAGCTGCCTGCAGTCTACCAAATCCTGGGTTAGTAAAGATGGTAAGGAATTGCCCCTGCACATCTCACAATACAATGTGCATCTTACGTTTGCCCTGAATTGCTTTGTGGGATGTGCTAGGGTATTCCTCAGCATCAATTTTTGGAAAATTCAAAATCTGCATACTTATCCTGGACACCCTGCAATGGGCAATTTTCTAACAAATGCCACCAATTATGATACGTTTATATTCCTTATAGGGTGTTCAGAAGGAGACTGGATATTCCTATATGTGTGTAGCCTGAAATATCCACTAAGATACCAGATGGCTGGGACCGAAGATGCAACAAGTCAATAGAGCTCAACACCTGCCTTAAGATTTGGAAATATTAACAACTACTCCCACAATGTAGAATGACCACCATAACGACAATTACGGGCAAGTTTACAGCTCCGAGACATAAGCCGATATTATTGCCTCATATACAGATCATTTGCAGGATATATTTTTATTATGCATCTTCCCCTTACTTTCTTCTGGACTGCTATTCCAAGCAAAAATGTTCAGTTATGCAAATCCTTCTAAGATTTAATTTATTGTATAGCTAAAATCTCTTCTTCTATTTAAAGTAAACTGGTATGAATTGACAGAGAACAGATGTAGAAAAGATGGTGTAAAATCCCTCAACGTTTGTCATCTACAGTGTTAAGGGGATTTAACAGAGTTTATGCATGGAATTTCAGACCATAATTCAATATGTAGACGTAATCCCGAATCACCCACTAACGTTACCTCTACGTCCTTAAAATATATACCTTGTGTGACAGATCCAGAAAGGACTTTGTGAAAACCATCAATTCCACAAACCCTCATGTCAGACGCAGATTACCGACAGACAAGCCATGTTTTAAACAAAAGTCTAAAACCACTATGTAAAAAGACCAGAAATACAGGGACTTCAATGTGTTTTCATACATACCTAAGGGGAAGATTTTTGTTCCCTAACTGTTCCATAGGTCATACCAGGAGAGCTTTCTTTCTTTTCAATTACAGTTGCTAAATACTATAAACAACCAAAAATACATTGAATACACAGGATATAATTTTCTCAAAAATTTCATGCATCCTTAGGGATCTGTAACATCCGAATACTTAGACATGGAGATATGTAGATTAATGATGAAAACATCCATGGCTGAGGATGACATTTTTTTTTTTTAAACTTGATACATGAAAGTAGATGAGAAAGGGAACTGACAACAGATATTCAAAGGAGGTAAAAAAAACTTGGCACTTGAGGTTTTATCCGAGAATGAGTCATTAGACAGGACCAAGAACAAGTAAAAAAAGAAAAAAAAAAAAAAAAAAAACCACAGATTTAACCT